ACACTTTTGCGCCGTTGATTACAGAGCATTATTGGTGGGGATGGCTGCTGACGTCATCAAACGTGCTCGACCCAAAAAGGTAAGTAAGAAACTCGGACACTTGGACACCTTCGCGCCGTTGATTACAGAGCATTATTGGGGGGATGGTTGCTGACGTCATCAGAGGGATTGCTGTCAAAAAGTACGTGAAAAACACGGCCGCTTAGAAAACTTCCCGCCAGTGATACAGAAAACTGGTGGTATTGGTCGGTACATGCACATGCCAGATGTCCGACCATTCTACCCATACTCCAATAAGAATCTGGCAGAATGGCTGCTGACGTCATCAAGCATGCCCGACCGGGAAGGTACGCAAATAACTCGGACACTCAGACCCCTTCGTGCCGTTGATTACAAAGCATTAACTGTGGAACTGCCGCTTATGTCAATGATCAAGCATGCCCGACCCAAAAAGGTATGTGAGCCTAACTCGGACACTCGGACACATTCGTGCCATTGGTCACGTCTAACGGTTTTATCAATGCTCATATACTTAGGGCCAATGCTTGGACCAAATAGCGTCATCTCTCGACCTTGCAATGGAGCAGCTTCCCGATGGCCGCACGCTATGCCGAGCGGTTGGAGTGACCTTCGACAATAGACAGAATGCAGTTCGTAAGCTGAGGGTCGGCCAAGAGCTCGTCCTCCTGAAGCATTTGGGAAACGGTTTCGACTCATATGCAATTGCCATCTTCCACTCGGCCGATCGCAGTATGCCACTCGGCTTCATTGGACGCGGTGACAAGCATCACGAAGTTTTCGAGCCTGTTCGTGCCGGTTTGGGGTTGCCAGCAAGAGTCTATCGTATCAACCGAGGCAGGGGCGGCCGCGGGCCATGGGGTTTTACAATAGCAATCATTGCAAACTCTGCAGACCGCAGCAAGATGGCTCCTCCTCTAAATCTTACATCCGTTTGTCAGATTGTCATCAAGAGACCGGGAGAATCACGGGGCTTGAAAGAGGAATGAGCAAGCGTGTAACATTTCTTTTGTCGAACGTACTATAGCCTCACGATGGATGCAATCTTGGGCTATCGTCCTCCAACAACGTTTGCAATCGAGCAGATGGATCGAGCCATTTTTGAGAGTGCCAAGACCGCAATAGTGAGATCCTATAGGGAGTTTGGAATGCTTGAAACCATTCTTGACCCAGCAGCCCTGGCTGGAATCCGCGCCCTTGCCGAACCGTTCAATCTCCGTCACATCATTCGAGCGCTTGTACGATCCCTAAATGCTGAAGGGTTCCACTCGTACTGGGTTCGAAGCGGCATCCATGGACCATTTGCTGTGAAAGTGAGCTGGCGGGTTGCTCTTAAAAACGCGTCTCGGGCTCGAAGCAAAGCAAAAAAGCTGCGATTAAAAGAATCTCCGCTCACGGCTCACTCTCATGACCAAGAGTCGATCACTCCAGCCGGTTACACAAGTATCCAAGCCCCTTCTCCATCGAGTTCCAGATACGCCCCCAGTATAGTGTGGAGTGATGCACAAATCCCAGAGTTAGAGACGCTTGCGAATCCCAGCAAACTTCATCGTGCCACCAAATCTCCACGAGAATCCTCTGTTGGATACTGAATTGCTGCAATGGTCCCGTTTCAGAAATTCTGAACATCAATAATCGTGTATCTGGCAGTAGTTGGATATCGGCCGATATCTGAAGAGCGTCAAAGTCCCTATATCGGGTTGTAGAAGCTCTTGCGTCGGAGATAACCATGAAAAGCTCCTAGGCGCACCAAAACGGTGAAAAGAAAGATGAACACGGATATTCGGTATCTGAGCACTTTGCGGCCAGATGCCGTTCATGTTTTTTTTCTCGGTATCCAGATACCCAAGGCATGGCAGCTTCAGATGCAAACACAAAGGTTATAGCAACTTTGTCGTCAGCAGAACGCCTGCTTCACGAAATTTTTGATGACTCGACACGAAAGTCGCACACGGTCGAGCAGTACTGTGCTCGAGTCATGCGCCTCTTCAAGAGCATGCATGCTCCAAGAGAGGACTTCGAGTCACTTGAGTGGGTCCGAGATACGACCAAGATCATAGAGTATCATAGAGTATCTGGATAGCGTGTATCCAGACAAATTGCCCACACAAGCCACGAGCATAAGTCCACTCTTGGTGATCGCCCGAAAACTGTGGCCCAGTGATCAACACACTTACGAGGCACTTTTCGAACGATACTGTGCCGTTAGAAAGGCCATGGAAGAAGCTCGACCACCCCAGCACATGTCAGAGCGTGAGGCCAAAAACTGGAAGACTCTCCAGGAGGTTAACGATCGCCGCATCGAGCTTCAACGGAGGGTCAATCGAACCATCGCGCCAAAGAAACCAAATGAAGTCACGGTTGGGGACAAGGTGACTCTATGTCGCTATTTGGTGTTGTCTTTGTACTTACAGATGCCGGCACTTCGCAATGACTGGAGCAATCTTCCCGTCGTGCGCTTCGAAGAGGTTGGGAGCACTGCTGCGCGTGAGCTCATGGCGGGATCTCGCAACTATCTCCTAGAGTATGCAAAGGGCAGCTATAGGCTCC